TACTACTTTAGTTGGTAGGTACGTACCGTACCTTACTACTGTCTACGTATACTAGTAGTTACTTACTACTAACTACGTTACGTACCACTACTCTACTACATACTAATATATATAATAGTATATATATATATATATATATATATATATATATATATATATATCTTGTGTAATATATATGCCTTTGAGTGGAGTGAAACTTAGGTACTTCATAATATAAATGCCTTTTGTCTTCTAGTGAAAACTTCAAAAATGTCATTCTGAAAATGACAAAAAATATCCTTTGCCTTTGAGTGCAAATGCCAACAATACCCTTTCTAATATGTAATCATAGACTAAAGATAGGGACAACTAAAGTGTTTTTAAAGGTTCACAACCCTTTATAAATGTAAGACATAGAATTTCCTGGTGTTAACAATAGAACCTCCCCTCCCCCACACACGCACACATGCATACACCCATATTTCCATATTCTCCCATCAATTTGACCATCCAAATAAGATTTACTTGACCCATTGGTGGTCTTAAACATGCTAGATGAACCAATCTTGTCTAAAGTCTAAACCAGGTCAGATTCAGCAATTCGAAACAGTGGCCATTGCGGTCCCATTGACCCCCGTTATGGGCCAATGGCTATTAAATAGGTGGACCGGCCAGTCCAACTTTTGGATCGGCTACTTTAGCGATTTTTGCTCTCTCTCTCTCTCTCCCCCCCCCCCCTCCCCCTCAAAAAAAAAAAACAAAAAAAGAAACTCCATTTTTTTTTCATAAAATTTTAATGACTTCCAAGGAAGATTCCTGCCATTTCAAGCCCCCAATAAGTTCATTACACTCTTTTCTTAACTAGTTTGTCTTATATTTAAAAATAAAAAAGTTAAGATTTTTAGGGTTTTTGTTAGAAATATTATTTTCCAAATTAACGCAATAGGTTGTTTCCTCTATTTGTTTTGTTTTAGTAAGTTTGTTGTTGTAGGTTTTCTATTTTTTGACAGCTTATATGTGTTTTTGTAAATAAATAAAGTTTTTTCAGTCGTTTGTTTTCATTTACTTTTCCTTTTCTAAAAATAAAAAAATAAAAATTCTTTAACACTTAAATGGAACTATAAAAGATGTTTATAGGTAAAAGTTCTCAATTTTGTTTTATGAAATTATCCTTATTTTTCTATAGTTTTTCTTAGTTTTCCATATTTTCTCTTTTTCGATTTTTTTGTATTTTTCCTATATGTGTATATATTAATTTTTATAACCAATGAACTAATTTTGAAGCTTTAAATTTTATAATTAGAGATAAAATAAATTTCCAGGCCATCACAAAGATTTCGAATATTGAAACATCTTTCAACACTATTTCAAGGTGCACCTTACTTTGATCGTTTAGGGCCTCAACCTTATACAAACCACACCCAACAAATAATTATGATCTAGAAAGCTTTTAATAAGTCTAGATTTCTCTATGCCATGGATCTTGGGGAGTAACAAATATACGGCGCAAATGCAAATCCTAATATACATACCCAAGAAAAAGTAATCACATGTGTTGTTTCCCAGGTAACGTTATCATGTAGAATGTTCATAAAAAACATAAGACTTGCAAGTTCATACAGTTTGCCATATTGACCACCATTCCTAAAAATTAAATTTCCTTAGGGAGCATAAAGTTGCAGTTTGTCAGGTCACTTACATGAGGCAGGTGTTGTAGCTATTGCTGATTCAAACGTTGCACCGTTGTTAAACTCTAAAAATGTTTTACCTGGATAAGACAGTCAAGAGGAACACAAAATCAATGTGGGTAGCAAACCACTACCATGAAAGATGGAACTCCAGGACCAGCTGTCAAAAATTAAGAGAAAATATAAACATGATTGTATTGTACAGATACAAAGGCAAGGCATCCACCACCGTTCTCAGATGGACAAAGGAGATGAACCATAGTTCAGCTTTTGTCCATCATTTCCTTGCTACAGTTTAATCTGTACTCAGCCTTGAGAATGGACATGCAGATGTGCAGCCTGGGCATTGAATAGCATATGCGTCATAAGTATGCGACATTTTTTCCATTTAAGAAACAATGGTGCACTGTCTACTGTATAAATTTTGAAGTATGGAATAGATAAGCATAATAAAATTGGGTGCAATAAACAAGCAGTATTGCACTGAATCCCATCAGATATTTGAAATTAAGGGCCACTGTGCAAGAATAGCATTAGAATATGTGACCTCCTAAGAAATCCCTGTAACACAACCCATACAAACCTACCAAACAGAAGAAAGGAAGCAGAATGCACTTTTTCATGTTTATTTAGGGATTCCTATTCATGACTTTTTGAAAATTTTCTATCTGCAATTAGAAATAGCCAAGGAAATAAACTTGCCATTTCTTGATAGAAATCGTATTTGGGGACCATTATAAACTGCTTTATGAACAACTGCTCTTTTCTTAACTTCTTCTTCTCTCGCTAAAACCCGCTCCAAATTCCTCAAATTCACAATTTCTGTGATGGGTCATGTCATGTGAATGCAAACTGTAAGTATTCCAGCAGCCAAAATAACTTCACCAAGAAATACTGTAGGTAGAAAGGGAGACCAACAATCGAGAAAACCACATGATTGTTAGTCCCCTACACATAATAACGAAGCCTGCAAATCAGGAACCTGTTTGGGCTGCTTCTAGAAGCATCTCCTCTTGAGTCATTCGCTTCTCCTCTCCCTCCTTTTTTCTTTTCACTGGCTGCAAGAAATACACAAGATGATCAAGCCAAGCATATAAAAAAATCTATGGATTCATATGCACTTCAGTTAGACATAAACATAATAGAGATGGGTACTCAAAAAAAATCCATTTTCCCTGTAAATAAATCACATATCAATAAGTTTGCAAAATGAGGGAATCTTTGATCAGATACAATATCTTAAAATAAAAATATTTTTTTATAACAAAAGAAATGTTAAAGAATGAGAAATAAAAGTGAATTGTAAGCAAGAAAGAAACTAAGATGTGTCTCTGTGTGTGCACAATCGATTCCAAAACTTTGCAACACAACAATACACAATTGTTGGTGTGAAACAAGTGCATTTGTACACACACACATACACATCTCCATATGGTTTCATAACCAGAACTAACCCTCATGGTTGCTTGTAAGGCTGCCTTTATTGCATCTCTCTCTGCCTGTCTAACAATGACTGAAGTTCTAGTAGACTTTCTCACTGCTCTTTCACCCTCTAAATCATCAGGGATGTCCTGATGTTCAAGTTGCATAGGTTCTGGTGTCTCAGAAGAGTTTTCAGCCTTTGGGATAGCCGCTAAAACCTTCTTTTTGCTTTTTTTCTTTACTGCTTTCTTTCCAGGAAATATCAACTTTTTCTTAACCCTCTCCCTGCAGAAAATTCAAGTGCTCAATACCAATCAGAACCTAAGGGAAACAATCAAACGAAAAGAAACATGAAAAATACAATCAAACCGAAATTGATAAAAAAAGATTGCCATGACTAAAACCAGCAAATGCAGAAGATTGGGGAAAGAGATTCAAACCTTTCATCACCATCATTTTTGGCCTCCTCATCATCAGGCTCGGGTTCCTAAATGTAACATAATTTCTCATGAGCCAAGAAAAATTGAGCATTACAAATTCAAGGTAATCAGTGGAAGATATCTCAACGATTAATAAACAGTTCAAACAAGTAAAAAATGGTCATATAAGATGTAAAATGCCATAAACTTCCTTATCGTATAAAACAGCAGAATACTCACATCTTCATCGAAATCACTATCAAACTCATCAGCCACCTCTGCTTCTTCTTCATATTCAGCATCAAGTTCTTCCTACAAGAAGCATTAAGATGCATGAAAAAATAAAATAAAAACTAATAATTAAATGAATATTTGCATAGGATCATACAAACTGAAGCATTAGAGCCAAAATGTGCAAGCAATCAAGTACCCTCCAATAGAATACCTTTTGAAGTTAAATCATAGGATAACATCTATTTATTCCATTTCCATATTGCCCACCTCTTTTAAAGCATCTTGATTCCAAAACAGCTCATCCTCCTCTATTTCCTCATCAAGTAACTTGGACATCCTAACAAATGTACACATTCTTACGTCAATCTGATTAGTAGGAATGAATATAAAGGCACACACATGATAGACATTACAATGATAATGCTCAGCCAAGTTAATTATGGTTGCTTGCCTTCATAAACTCTGTTTCTTACGTAAATAACAAATTATCTTGAGGGGTTTGAAATACTAAAGTCTATTTCAAGTCAAAGCCTTTTCTAAAATCTTAAAGAGTATTAACATAACAGTTGCTTGTTAGGGGTATAATATCTAGCATTAAAAAGAGTCATAAACCCTAACCAAAAGCCAGTTTCATAGATATATTCATATAAACATAAATTGATAAACTTTCACATATGCATATAGACATTATATATAAAATAATTAACATTATATCTGAAAAATTAAAAATATATGTACAATTAATGCAGAATGACAGTACAAGATTATATTGAAACGAATATTTTAAGAAATTTCATTTAACGAATATACATAGTTACCACTGTTCAAAGATTAACGCATATAGAAACCGAAAATACAGGTGCAATTTTTGAACTATTGCAAAAGAAAAGAAAAAAAAAAAATAACGAATGGGATTCGTTTATTTGGGGTTTTAAAGTTTATGAATCAATAAATTGGTGTTAGTTGTTGCCATTACGGAGCCAGATTTAGACAAAAAATTTATCTGCTGGGTGAGATCAAAAGCTACTCCATTGGTTAACTGAAACCCAAACTGATCGAACTATTTTTTTCCCAAAAATTAAGAGAAAAAATAGATGCAAAAGAGAGAAAGAGAAGAGAGAGTTACCTTCTGCCTCGAGTTTTTCTTGCGGATCGAGGAAGAAGCATCACCTCTTGTTCTGCAGAAGAAGCCATTGGGTCCATGTGATCTTTGTGTCTCTCTCTAATACCAGAGCCTTCACTTTTTAACTTCTCCTGCTGAAAAATGTATGGAAAAAGAGAGTTATAATGGTTAGTTCCCACTCTTCTAAGGTGGGTTTGATAACTTTCCGTGCAGTTTCCCTGGAATTCTCCCTGCTGCTGACTTTCCTAGATTATGGGATAAAGTGAATTGGTAGCCTGAAAGCGATTATGGGATAGAGTGAATGGGTAGCCTGAAATCTGTGAACCCTGTTTGATATACTATAGTGATGCTACTTTCTCCTGTTTGGTAATGTTGATGTTGGGAAAGCACGAAACTGACTGTTTTAACCGTTCATTACTTATTTCCATGATTTGCTACGTGCAATGTATGTTTTTGAATAAGATTTTCTTGCTAGTACCTATCTAATGCATTTCTTACAATGTATGGTTAAGATTGAAATTTAATCTATTACAAAAGAAATTTAATCTTAGAAGTATCACAGATAATTTTATTACAAGAACAACATCAATAAATTGTATAGCTAAATATACTAATCCCAAAACTCTGAACGCTTGGTATACAAGCATAACACAGAATTGTGCGCACAGTATAATTTGTATTAATAAAGAGTAAATTTCATAACCAGAACATGAGAAATCAACACGCCACAACATCTAAAGAAGAAACTAAACTGAAAAGATACACCTGCCTTTAACAAAACAACATATATCTCCAAGAACAAATAAACGTTCAACAGCTCCATTAACTCAGAGCCAAATAAAAATTTTAATCGCTCACCAAGGCATGTAAGCCCCCCAGAGGGAAAAGAAATGACAAAAACGAAGGCACATAATTCATGTAATAAAAAAATTAGACCAAATTTAGAATACTACCCCGTACCAGTGCACCCCATTCAAGCCGTGAGGATTCTAAGCCAGAGTTCCTGCAGTTTGCTTCGTCGTCTATTAACCCCGTGAAAAAACCAATCAGCGTTCTGACGAGACCTCAATCTTCTCCTCAAAGTGCCCCACACTTCTTGGGGCAACAAAACAAGAATCAATCCCAGAGAGAGAAGAGGCCACGCTGCAAAAGATTTGCTTGGAATTGGGTCAAGCAATTCATCAGCAGATGGAATAAAGGCCTGGCTTCATTCTTCTCCTCAAAATACCCCTCATTTCTAAACAACAATCAGTCCTAGAGAGAGGTAACATTGCAAAATATTTGCTTGGAATCGGGTCAAGCAATTTATCAGCAAAGGGAACAAGGTAAAAAATCAGCAAAATTCGAGACACAAGAGAGAGAGAGAGTCCTGTGTTTGTATCAAAATTGAATCACTGAGAGAAGGAAAATGAAGGATTAGAACGGAACTGTGTATATACCTTCATCTTGCATAAGCAGATGCGAGGAAGACGAGAGAGAGAACAAATTAGGAGAGATGCAGAGAGAGAGCAGAGGGGGAGAGGAACTGAGAGAGAGTGCCTGGTTGAGGGCTAGAGCGAGCAGGGAGGAAGGAACATTGGTCGGCGAGCGCGGGAAGAGAACCAGAGTTTTGCCCGTCAACTTTACCTAGCGAAATACTGTTTGTTTTCGAGAATAAGTGGGTATCGACTTTTCGCGTTTTTGTTACTGTTCTCAAACTTGAGAAACCCACAGTATCCGTTACCTGTATTTGTTCATTGATCGACGTCCATCAAAAGTTAATTATTAGAAACTCGTTTACGTTTGGTCAGTGTTTAAAAAAACGGGCAGTTTGATTCGGGAATCGGCACAGGCCTTGCAGATTTCGACATTTTATACGAAATCATTCGATTTTAGAGAGAATCGGGCGATTCTATACAGTAAATCGTCGATTCACTGAATCCCATGAAGAACACGGCTGCACAGTGTTCTTCATGGGTTTCTTCAAAGTTTATCTTTTTTTGTCATTTTTTTTCTTTTTTTTACCATGTGATCGAATATTCAGACTTTATGCAGCTTTTTTCAGCCTTTTCATGCATTACATGGTAGAAAAATTTCATGTGTTTTGAATCATGAAAGTTGGGGGTTTTAAGGTTTCTGCTTTTCCTTTTGTTTCATGCCAAATAGGGCATGAATATGTGAAAAGTTTGAGGCATATTGATCGTAAATGTGTTCATTAGAAATTTCTGTTAAGAATTTGTGATTATCTTTGAGAAAAACATATTAATTTGGAGATTGAAGCCACGGGTCACGAAACCAGGTAAGAACTCTACGGTTTTTTTTTTTTTCTGCCATATGATCAATTTCAGTCCATATTTTGAAAATAATCAGTTAAATTTGTAGGGTTTTAAATCTTTATCGTGTCTTTTATCATTTACCATATTCACTTTTATTTAATTTACTCAATTACAGCCTGAGTTTTTAGAAGAACACAGTAATGTCTGTGAAAAAAATTTCTGCTGTTTTTTTTTTTTTCCGCATTTCGATCTATTGTTCACGATATATTACAAATAATGTGTTAGATTTCTAGGGTTTTAATCGTTATAGTCTTGTTTATTATCAAATGTATTCAATTTGATCTGATTTATTCAATTTGAGCTTCATTTTTTAGATTCAATGACTATTGTCTGTGAATAACTGCGTTTTTTTTGTTTTTGCTCAATTTAATCGATTTGATTTGATTTATTGATGATAATGTGTTCATAATTTAGGGTTTTGATCTTTTATAGTGTTGTTTATCAAAATATGTACTCAATTGGATGTAATTTATTCGTTTGGAGGTGGATTTTTTAGTTGAAATGGCTAATGTAAGGTGGCTCTGTGAAGAACAGATTTTTGTTTTTCTTTTTTTTTTTTTTTTGTAATTCATGATCAAATTTTTTGAAAATTTGTGATTTTCTGAAAAGATGTGAAAATCATGACAAGGTTTTGATTATCATGAGGTATTAAACCATATTTTTAATTTTTATTGTTTGAGTTTGCTGTACTTTTTATTTATTTATTTTCTATCCATGATCGAATTTTTTGAAAAATGATGATTTTTCTAAAAGATGTGAAAATCGTGACCAAGTTTGGATTATCATGAGGTATTAAACCATATTTTTAATTTTTATTGTTAAAGTTTTTGTTGAAAAAATTTTATGTTGATAGATTATTTATGCAAAAAAATGCATGTTATTATATTTTTAATGCAAAACTGTATTTTTTAAATTTGTTATTAATGCATTTTTGAGTTGGAATGACTGATGGTAGGTGGCTCTGTGAAGAATTGTTTTTTTTTTTAATACATGATCGATTTTTTTTGAAAAATCTTGATTTTCCAAAAAAATGTGAAAATAGTGACTAGGTTTTGATTATCATGAGGTATTAAACCATATTTTTAATTTTTATTGTTAAAGCTTTTGGTGAAAAATTTGTATGTTGAAAGATTATTTATGCAAAAAAATGCATGTTATTATATTTTTAATGCAAAACTGTATTTTTTTAATTTGTTGTTAATGCATTTTTGAGTTCGAATGATTGATGTTAGGTGGCTATGTGAAGAATTGTTTTTTTTTTGCTTTTTTTTTTTAGTACATGATCGATTTTTTTTGGAAAATCATGATTTTCCAAAAAGATGTGAAA